ATATATATATATATAAAGCAGTGGTGCAACTAGATGGGGAGTGTATATCAAGATAAGTGGAAGATGATATAACTCAAAGAATGAAAATATGAAGGTTATCGTTCCGTATTTGATTTCGTCTACTGTTTTTCCTCCTAATTAATTTGGTGGAAGCAGAATAAAATGGGTTGAAATAAATTTCTTTTGTTTAAATCAAAGTGTAGCCATTTTAGGTTTCTAAAAATACAATGCTAGCCGACATCCATGAAATCCTTTATTTTCTTTTTAAGTTTTTTTTTTCCATTGGTTTTCATTTTATTTCTCATCTTTTTATAATCATATTAGGCGCGATAAAATTAAAAAGCACATTTATTCAATTAGAATTTTAAGTAAAATATGTTTGTTTGTTTTTTCCTCTAAGTCCTTTAATTTTTAAAATCTTTCGTAATTTATGATGTTGACAGTTTTAATTCTTCTTAACTACCCTTATGATTTAGAATTAAAAATTATAAGTATTTATACTTATAGAGATGCAGTTCTTGGTATTTTTTTCTAGATTCGAAGTCATTTCGAGGTAAAAAAATATACTTTACTAATTTAACGTGGATTTTAGAATGTTAGAATAAACTAAAAATAGAAGATAAATTAAGGGTGATTAGAATGTTAAATTGGCATATAATTGTATTGATTACATAGTAGTTTAAGTATAGTAATTGGTTGGCTTCATTATGACCTGAGAAAACGTTAAAGTTTCCTAAATTTTTTATTAAGTAAGGATATTTCATTGAAGACAAAATTCAAATGAAATAATTTTCATCCCTAATAATTTTAAAAAAATATTATTTATATTCATATTGCTACTTAACTAACGTGAGATTCTCCGTCCAAATCATGATGAGTTTATATAATACTTACAAAAACATATTCATTTATCATCCATACTTATTATGATATAATGATATTTAAATTTTAAATCGAATCATATATTAGTATTTTTATAAGATGTACTAAATACAAATTTTTTGAAAGAAATCTACCATTTGTTTGAATATTTTATTGTTCTTTGTGTATATATTAATTGTAAGTAGTTCGATATAAACGAAATATAATTATCATTTGCTCATATATTTAGTTTATTATAATTAACTCGTTTTTTTGTGTATTTATATTTGTTTCTTGTTATAATTGTGTCATATACATCAATAAAGGATGAAGCATGTTTGGATGAAAATTCTAAGCCGATTTAGAGAATTCTATACTTTAAATAAATATATTTGATCTAAGAATTACCAGTTTTGTAAACCTTTTTATTTTATATAAAGTTTAGAGTATCACTGCATGTTTATATTTGATAATAAGTTTCCTTGAAGAATAAAATATTTTAGATTATATCAATACGAAAATTAAACTCATTTATTGCATGCTAATTTCTTTGATCATTATTGGGTTTTAAAATCTGGAAGAACAAATGCTTTAATTCTTTCATATAAAATATTTCATGTCATGAGTTGTTCCATCTCATTTATTTTATTTTTAGTCTTGTCTCTTTCTATTTTATTCCATCAATAGCTAAAAATCGAAACATAAAGTAAAGATGCTTCTTTTAATTTTTTTTTTAACACGTGAAGCACTCCCTCATTTTCTCTTTTCAATAATGCTCTTTTATAAATACAATCTTATATTAAAGAAAAATGTTCATGATTACATTATCAAAAAAATATAGATCACTCCAATTCAATCTAAATATTGAATTGGGTGCTTTTAATACTTGAGTAAATCTCAATTCAATCTACTCAAATTCATTATTTATTAGATTCAATAAATTTCTATGTTAAACCCATGCTTTAAACTTTCCTATTACTATAATATATTTTTAATATTTTTATTATATATAAGTTTATTTCAGAAAAAAAGAAAGAAAAAATTCACATATTTTTTTTGTCTCAATTTCCTTTTTTCAAATATTTATACCATATTTTATTAACTTTAATTTTTGGTTTGATTTATTTAAATATACTATTTAGTGAAAATACAAATAACATATACATGTATTCGAGTGTTTATTATTCTCTATATCATGATCAATAATCTCACATGGCCTAAGAGTAAGATTAAAGATGATTTATATATTTATGAAGTTTTACGTTCTAAAATGGATCGTATCTTGAATGTATGATGATTTTAACGAAATTTCTTAACAGATTTGAAATCAAAATATTGGTGTTCACTGATAACCGAACATTCAATCCCTTAATCCTTTCTTAGGGATGATTCCAATACTCATTTTTTTTTTCACCATTCGAGACATGAGACAAAACTCAACAAACAATATGTTGGATGTACCTTGATAAACTCTAACTATATCGTTGGACAAACTTAAGGTCAGAACAATTATAAATACATTTATAAATAAACAGAATATATTTTAAAAGTGATAAATATAAGTGTTGGAAGTCCCAATTTCTACTATCACGCACGAGATGTCTATACCTCGACGTGAAGGAGGTGTGTTGGAAGTTTCACATCGACTACAGATAAGGCCAAAATATAATATATAAGTAAGGTGCAAACCTCACCTTACAAGCCGATTTTGTGGGATTGAGTTAAGGTTAAATAATAAGTTGGTCTCCTTCAAATACATACATACATACATACATACATATATATATATATATATATATATATATGGGGTTTGCTAACGCGTGTAAGAGAGATAGATAAAAGGTTGGAGTAAGAGAGATGAAAGAAAAATGGTTGAGAGAAATGATAGAGGTGAGTAAGGGTGTGGGGGTTTCTTTTTTTTAGTTTTGAGAATGAAAATTATTAAAATACCCTTAACCTTAAAACTTAAAATCCATGATATATAAGAATATTTTTGTCTACTAAAATCCGGTATACATTACTAAAATGTACCAACTAAAAAGCAGACGTACGCTTTAACAAACCTATATATATATATATATATATATGAATAAATGAAATGGAATCTAACTCCCTTAAACAGTCCTAATATGTATAAGAAAAAAAGAAAGGAAAGAATATATGGAAGTCACATCAGACATTGCAAGAAGGTGTATAAATAGGCAGAAGCAGATTAAATTATGAGGTGAATTAAAGGGAAGAAAAGATAAAGAATGGAGGGTCCCCTTGTAATTGGACGTATAATAGGAGAAGTTTTGGATCCATTTACGAGTTCTGTGAGTCTGAGAGTAGTTTATAAGAATCAGACAGAAGTTATCAATAGTTGTGAGTTGAAACCTTCCCAAATAGTGAACAAACCAAGAGTTCATATTGGTGGAGATGACCTAAGAGTCTTTTACACTCTGGTATGCTCCTTTTTCTCTCTTTCCATTTTCTTCTTCTTTCAACACTCTGTTTTTCCATGCATTTTTTCCATAAACAGATAATGGTGAATCCTGATGCTCCTAGCCCAAGTCAACCTTCTTTCAAGGAATATTTGCATTGGTCAGTTCCTTCTCTTTCTTCACTTTCTTCGTTTTCTATCATAATCTCAAACTTCTACATAAAACACTTCTTTCCTTATTTTAACATATTAACCATCAATTTTTTTTATGTTTACAAGGATAAACTAAACTTAGCCCTTATCAGAATTAGTGTATAGATCATTTTTCTTTTCACAGGGAGGCTAAAAAATATATTGTAATTTAAGGTTTTCTTTACACTGGTTTTTAGTATACTGTAATTAATAGTTAAAAGTTGAAAATATTGGTCAATTTCAATAACGTAAATATCTTAAGAATAAAATTAATATATTTACAATTTATTCAACAAATATACGAAAATAATTAAGAATAAAAAGTTAAATACATATTTAAAATATAAAATCTGAACTGAAATTGAAATGAACAAACGGTAGTCATAAACATTTTAAAATATAAAAAAAAAGTAGATTTCAACGTAATCAATGCATTTATATATTTTTTTAGAACAACAAAACTTTACATTAAATAAATATAATTTAAAATAAAGTAAAAAACGTGAGAATTATTTAATAGAAAAGGTAGTAGTATCAAATTGAGAATAGAGTACCCACAAAAAATTGAAAATAAATAAATAAATAAATTTAAAAGTGGTATTTTAGGTCAAGTTATGATTTGAAGGAGTGATAGAGTGAACAAGTTCTCCTCCACGAAAGGTAAAGAAACCCCTTTGCTCTTAATTAAGATCTATTTGATTTGAATTTCAATTACGTACAATAAATCGATCTTTTAATGAAAAGTGTTTGATAATTTTGTGTGTTGATAACTTTCGTTGTTCACCGAATGCGTAGGTTGGTGACCAATATTCCAGCTACTACTGCGGCAAACTTTGGTACGCCCACAACATTTATTTTGTAATGTTTTTGTCGGAATATATTTGAATAGTTGAATTTTGTTTAATTAAGACTCTAACTCGAAAATTTATGTTTATATCGCATCCAATAGTTTAAATTCTTTAAGAGTTTAGGTTTAAGAAAATTTAAATATTCTTTCAATTTCAAAACGTTTTTAAAAGCAAACTATAACAAAATGCAAAATTTAAAACGAATAATATCTCAAAATAAAAGTGATCGAGTCTAAAACTATCATATGACGAATTTGAAATAAAGCTTGATTTGAAATAAAAAATAGCTTGAGTCAAATAATAATTTCTTTTGTTTATGATTAGTGTGTGATGTATGTTACAGGACATGAAATCCTGGAATATGAAAGTCCACGACCAACGTCGGGGATTCATCGTATTGTTTTGGTGTTGTTTCGACAATTGGGTAGACAAATAGTGCATGCTCCAAGATGGCGTCACAATTTCAACACCAGAGATTTTGCTGAAGTTTACAACCTTGGATTACCGGTTGCCGCTGTCTATTTCAACTGTCAACGTGAAAATGGTTGGGGTGGAAGAAGGGCATAGAACTTTTTATACAGATACCATACCTTCTCTAAAATAGTATACTATAATTTTTATCTATTCAGATACTGTAACTTTTATCTATTCATATACTTAGTTTAGAATTCGATTTTAAAAAAAATTAAATTCTGAACTAGCACGATAAAAATGTATTATGTGAGTAAATAAAACTTACAGTGTGTTATTATGATAAAAAAAATTACTATTTGTGTGAAAAATTCTCCTTCGTTTTAACCTCTATTCTGAAATTAGACTTTCTATTATTCGGTTATAATACTTTTCTCTTTATATATATTTTCCAAATATTTAGCAATAAACGATTCCACCTTATTTAGTTCAAGCCCGTTAATTAGTCACCAAAATTTCGCTAATGAATTGGAATTTGTTTCTTTTAATTTTCATATCTAAATTTTGTCTTTTGTATGATTTTAGTTTCTGGGTTTAAGAAAATCTACATTTTTAATTCAACATTTCAGTCTGTATGCATTTTATTTCTTTTATTTTGTTCGGGTTGAATTTTAAACCTAACACATTCGTTTAAAATATCATAAAAATACTTTATTTGGTTAAAATAAAAAAATCATTAATTTTTTTTTTCAAATTTATAGACTAAAACCAGAGGAAATAAAATAGAGAGGCTATATTGTAGATAAAAAAAATAAAATTTAAACCGAGAAAAAAATGATTTCCAGTGGCAAGTAAATTCCACGGAATTAATTAAAAAAATTATAAAATGTATAGAAACTCTGATAGGTTAAAGCCCATGATAGAAGCCCAAAGTTCTCGGATACATCAATATAAGAGGGTTATTCTCTACACCATCTCAGATTTATCTTTGCACCACCACATTTTTAAAAAATTTCAAAATTATCCTTTATATTTTAAAAAATCCTACACTTCCACTTTTTTTTTAACGGATGTCAACATCCGTTGAAGAAAAATTCTTCAACGGATACGTCACATTCATTGAAAATTTTTTTTATGTCACATCCGTTAATGGATGTGACCACATCCGTTCAAGCTTTATGTTTTTTCTTTAGTTTTTAATTTATTAATTTCTTGTATATTTAATTAATATATAAATATTATTTATTTTTTTTTAAATTTGTTACGTAATTATATATAAATTAATTTTATTTTAATTAATGAATTAATTATTATTAATATTAATTTAATTATATTATTTTTTAATTAGTTATAAACAATGGATATGTCACATCCGTTTAATTTTTTTTTAATTTTTAGTTTATTAAAATATTATATTTTAAATTAATTTATAAATTATTTAATTCTTTTTGTTTTTATAATATATTACGTAAATTAATTTCATTTTATTTAATTAAATTAATATCATTAGTTTAATTAATTTGATTTTTGTTTTACTTTAAATTAATTAAATTAATAATAATTATTTAATTAAATAAAAATATTATAAAAAAACAAAAAAATTAAATAATCCATAAATTAATTTAAAATATATATGTTAATAAAATTAAAATTAAAAAAAGAAAAATTTGAACCGATAATCGCCACTGTGACATTCCGTTCTTAAAATGAATTAAAAAAATATATAATTAATTAAATTAATAATTATTATTTAATTAAATAAAATAAAATTAATTTAAGTAATATTATAAAAAAGCAAAAAAAAATTTCTATAAATTAATTTAAAATATAATATTTTAATAAACTAAAAGCTAAAAAAGAAAAAAGATAAAGCTTAAACGGATGTGGCATGAAGAATTTTTATTCAGTGGAAGTCCACGTCTATTGAAGAAAAAAAGTGAGAGTGTATGATTTTTTAAAATGTAAAGGATAGTTTTGAATTGTTTTAAAAATGTAGTGTTACAAGAAACAATCTGGGTGGTGTAGGGAGTAACCCTCCCAATATAATTTAGTTGGGCCTACACGACTTATTTTCCATTTCTTTTTTTCTATTTGATTCCTAATGTTTTATTACTCCACCCCCCACTTTCTTCTTCTCCGCGAGACACTAATTTTTGTTTGTCTTTTCTCTTAGTGCTATGTTTCTTCTCCTTCTTATTGAGTACGTAAAGTTTTAGAAGGAAGTGTTTTTCGTTGTAGGATTTTTGGTGAGGCATAAAGAAAATTTGCAAGAATAAGTTCACATTAATCCTTCCATCACAACACACACTGCGATAATTAAAATATTAAAAAAAAATTATGAATCAACATAATGGATGTGTTTTGAAATATCTGGAATCTACCAAAAAGGACAATCATAATTGTATGATCCAATCTTAATCTTGATCCGAAGTTGCTACAATAACTGTACGACGGGCGATCATACCCTCTAATCAAAATATTTTTAATAAGAATTTGTGTTATATATTAGGTTAAATAAAAAATAAAATATTACTATTAGGTTTTTTATTTTCCCGAAATTTTTCTATTTTTGCCAATTCTCAGGCACAATATATTTCTAATAAAGCTACATGATTCTGTAATATTTTCTTCCTTGTAGTGAAAATACAACTAAAAACTCATGATATATTCATAATTTTCATTTTTTGTTGATAGTTTGTTATAAATAAAATACAATGTTTAATCTAATAAAGTGAGCAGGAGACGGGGAGTCCATCCCTGCAATCAATATATTTGAACAAAAATATATAATATAATCAGTATATATATAAAATAAAGTCAAAACTTTACTTAAAAAATAACTAAAATTTTACATTTAACATTCTCTACGGAAAAAAAATAATTTTAAAATATTTTGGGAATAATAAAATATAATACCTTCGCCCAACAAGTGTAAGGTATCTCTCAACGACCCACATATAACTGTTTCGGGATAGCCATATATGCATCTTTGCAAGTTGCAAAAACTTTCTTTAAGAATTATTTTTTAATGTATTTTTCTCTTGAATTGTTTATTAAAAAAGAAGGATCGGAATCTTACTAGGATGCAAATGAGTAAACACAAAATATATATATATATATATATATTATATATATATATATATATATATATATATATAATATATATATATATATATATATATATAATATTTATCTTAATAGTATTTTCCCGGTAACTCATAAATAGAAAGGAACAATAACTCTAAATTTTCTGTAATAGCCCGTTTTTTAAGGTTTAATTAATCAAACTAATAGTAATTTTTTTAATTATCTGCACTGGGTAAAGTGTCCCTTCTATTATGTAATGAATTTATATTAACTTTTTGTACCTTACTTAGTGACAAACTGTTACTCATTGGTGAGCTTTCAATTAGTTTATGTCTTAAATTATGTCATATTAATATAATCTAATAAAAGTGTTTATAAGACTCAAATATTTAATTTCACTGTGGTCGTAATGTTCACGTGATATTGCATCAAGATGATATTCTATGTTTCTAATATCTACTTTTCAATATTCTTTTGATTCAGAAAATTCTGAACTTTTTTATACCTTTTGTTTTCTTTACTCTTCAGGCAAAAATATGCTTTCTAAATTTGTATCCATATGTTTTCAATATCACATGATATATGCTTTCTAAATTTGTATCCATATGTTTTCACTTTTTTTTGTAATAAACCCAATCATGAGTTGATCTGGAAAACAGAAAGATTCATCTGTTTTTCTTTTCTTTTTTTAATTGATTCTGTTCACCTTTATAAAAAAAATCTGCAACTTTTTTTATACTTTATTTATTTTACTCTGTTGGACCTTGGTATTGTTGGCATCTTATACTATGGGTTTAAATGTGAAGAAAACATGCTATGAAATATCATTCCCTCCATCTTTCCAACAACGTTATATTGGACCATATTTCTTGTGGGATTTTCCTTCCACCTTTGTTCATGATGTAGTCATATCTTTCCCAAGGTATATGATATATCTTTTGACCTGGTTAATATTGCCCTGTAGGTAGTCCATATTGACAAATATCCTTCTCACATAAATATGTATAAGCTTCTTACGACAGTGTTTTAATGCAATGCACAGGACATAAAACCCAATTGGAATATGTGAAGGTTGCTGCTGTCTTGTTTTTGCTCTTTATCCATGCCTATAATCTTATTTGAGCCATACATAGAATTTCTTCTCCATCTCCCTTGCTTTTGTAAACAAAATGCTATTTCTTCAATATTATATACTCCACGTAATAGCTATCCACATCCCCCTCCAAATGGTATTTCCCTTTTTGTTCAATTCTACTTGGTAAAAGTGTTTAAAGTTTGTTTTGCATTGTTTGCACCTACCAAGTATCACACATATGCTATGTATCGTATGACCGTTTAATTAATTTTGGACTGGACGAATCATATAGTCAAGAATACCACGATGAATACTCGAGAGACCGAACGATTGTATCATACAGACAACACGGTCACAGTTAAACAATGATTAAATATAATGGATATTAACTTATAACAATGATTAGCATCAATTAGAGCACACTTAGGTTGTCAGTAATTTGAAGTTTATTTCGAAATATATAAATACAGGTTTGAGATAAAAATGTTAGTGATTATATTTATTACACATTAACTGGTGAACTTGTTATAAATTTATTGATTTTGACATCAAAGTACCTTTTGAAGGTAACTTCTTAATTTAATTAAACAATAACAAAAACGAATATTAAAACATAGAGAACTTAATAAACAAATAATTTCGACCCATAACCAAAACATGTCATGTTATGATTGTTATGTTACATCTAAAAAATAGATGATTGATTGTCTCTCCCCAGACATAACACAAAATTCTCTAGCCTACAATCTCTTCGCTTTGGTCCCATTAGCTATTTTAGCATGATCCTCTATGAAAAGTATTTGGGCTGATGATTGTGCTTTTATTGTCCATAATGGTACTTTGACGAATCATATAGTCACGATGACTACTCGAGAGACCGAACGATTGTATCAGACAACACTGTTAATAAATAATTCTGGAATAGTAATGATATCACGACACATAGCTTACAAGAATAAAATGATGAAAAGAGTGTAACCTTTTGTATGAGAATAA